CGAGCCCGAGCCGGGCTCGGCTCGGGCTTTTCCCGAGTCCCGGCTCGGGCTTTTCCCCAGCCGAGCCCGAGCCGCCGAGTCTTGAAAGGAATCGCTAGCCCATGGAGGAACAAGCTGCCAAGAATTTGCAAACTTTAGCTGCTATGAATGTTTGTTACTTCAACAAGTTTAAAACACGACAACAGGTAGCTAGAGAATTTCCACGAGTCCAAGATAAATTTGAACACACAAATTATTAAGGATTCTACAAAAGTCTAGAGAGAATATAGGAGTCATATTTGAAGTACAACAAAATTTTTAGAACACGATGCACCATCATCAACAAAGTATGTAAAGTGATAATAAATCATAAGAATAGTGAGAACTTGGTGTCCAAACCATTAGTGAAAGCTTTAAATTTGAAAACTGAAAAATAATCATTTTGCTTTCAAGCTTCGCAAGGATAAGAATTTCAAAATATAGTGGTATACAAAATTTCACTCTCTTGGAAAATATACTATAAAGATGAGATTATATGTAACGTGGTAGAGTTTGACGATTATCATGTACTCTGGGGACAACCATGGTACTATGATGTAGATGTCACTTACATAGGCCGAGATAATAAGTACGTGTTTAGGTCGTACGATAAGAAGATTGTTTTGGTATCATGTGACGAGCAATTTAAGTACGTGTTTAGGTCGTACGATAAGAAGATTGTTTTGGTATCATGTGACGAGCAATTTGTAAGTACTAGTGTAAATAAAGAGAAAAGGTCCATAAGACAGATGATAATGTTAAAAAAGATGTAATTCAAGGTAATCAGAATTTTATCGTCAGTGATACTAAAATAGAAAAAGAAAAACATGTGCAAGTTGAAAATCCGAGACCTACTGATTCCTTGTATATGGAAACTGCAATTGAAAACTCCAAGATTGAGCCACAGTATGACGATGAGCAAGTTGAAGTTTGGAAGTGTCCAACAAAAGAAAAGGGAATTAATCTTGTCAATCATGAAGGAATTAAGGATAGTGCAAAGGACGTCAGTTAGCAATCTAATTATGGTGAATCCAACCAAGCAGCATCCTCAGTTGAAGTGTCAAGTAATTTACCTACAATTGATGTTAGAGCTGAAAAATTTGAGACGGAATCAGATCAATCAAACGCTGCTCCAGCTGCTGCTGAGGAGGTGGAATCTGCCAACT